CTGGGAGTTCTAGTCCCGCCTTAGGCACCAAAACAGGGCTGGCTGGGGGAATTCTGGGAGTAGAAGTCCACCAGTCTTCAAATTGCTGACCTTGGATATCCCACCCTACACCAAAGCAGCTGGCATTTCTTTCTTCCAATGCTCCCCATGACTTCTGTCCCCCATCTGGGTGGACAGTTGGAGCCGGGGCTCACCTCTGCCTATAACCCTTGACCCCCCCTACCTTCACACACACACCCCACAGCCCCCTCCCTAAAAAATTCATCTGTACGAAGCTATGGCATCACCTTCGGGGTGACTCATATAGGAAGGGTCCAGTCATAGCTGGAAAGAAGCTTAGCCTTTGGGGAGGAAGGAGATGAGGGAGGGGCAGGAGAGAAGAGGGGAGGGCGGTAATGGGGGGGGGGTCGGGCGTCCACCCATGTGCCTGCCACTTCTCTTCAGCCCCTCCTTGGGAGCCTGGGGGGAGAGAACTAAATGGGTTTTATAGAAGGCCCCAGCCCCAGGGGGAAAATTATCAATGAGGTGAGCGGAAGACCAGGGAAGGGATACAGAGGTTGTCCTCAAGTTACGGCAGTTCACTTAGGGACGTGCAAAAGTCACAACGGCACGGGGGGGGGAGGGGGAAGCGACGTAGGACCCTTTTTCACACCTACAACCCCTTGCATCCTCCTCCCACTCGATCCCAATTCAAATGCTCGGCAACGGTCTCCAATTTATGACGCCCGTCGTGTCCCGGGGGTTGCACGATTCCCCTTTTGCAACTTTCGGAGAAGCAAACCGGACCCCCTTAACAACCGGGTGACTTAACGTTAACAACTGCGCTTGGCAAGGAGAGTCGAATCGTCTTGCTTAGCAACGGGGGGGGGGGGGGGGGGCAGGGCTCAGTTGTGGCCGTAAACCGAGGACCACCCGGAAAACAGAATGGCTTTCTCCTCCTCGTCCTGGTCTCAAGAGTTCTCCATTCTTCCGAGCCTGAAACGTCTTCTCCTTTTGTCTGCACCCCGACTTCCTCCGGATTTGAACCCAGGTCTTCCTTTGGGGCTGGGAAATGGGGAGGAGGGGGGGGGGGGCCCGCCCCCGGGGGGGGGGGGGGGGGGGGAGCGCGGGGGGGGGGGGGGGGGGGCAAAGCAAGGCAAAATCCAGAGGGGGATTCCCAGAATCCCCCCCCTCCTCTTCTTCCTGGGGGGGCTTTGTCCCCCACAAGGAAGGCGGGTCCAGGTGATTCTTCCCCCCCCCCCCCCGCCGCCATCCTCCACCCCCAAACGACGAGGCGGGGAGCAGCCGCGAACGGGGCAGCCGAACGGCAGGTGGATCCTCACCTTGCAAGAAACGGGAGCCAAGAGACCGGGGGTTGCAGCCGGAGCGCCCCCCGACCCCCCCCCCCCCCGGTCGGGCGGGGCGGGTGGGAAGGGGGAGGGGGGGGGCCCCCCCCCCCCCGACACCCGGGGCCAGGACTGCCCGGCTCCCCTGCCCATCCCGCTTTGCCCCTCCGTCCTCCCCTCCCACGCCCGGCCGCGCAGCAGAGGCGAGCGAGGAAGAGTCGGGGGGCGACGGGCGAGAGACGAGGGGGGGGGGGTGTCCCGCCGCTTTCCGCCGCCTCTTACCTGGGGAGGCGAGGAGCCAGAGCCCCGCCAGGAGGCCGGCCAGAGGGAGCGCCTCGGAGAGCCCGCCGCGGGTGCCCATGACCCGCGCCCGCTGCAATTCGACGCCGACACTGAAGAAGAAGAAGAAACCGCCGCCGCCGCCGCTCGGTCGCTCGGTGGCTCCTGCCCGCCCCCCGGCCCGCCCTCCGGTGGCTCAGCCCAATCCCCAGCCGCCGCCCCCTCGCCAGCCGCCCGCCACCACCAGCAAATCTCCCCGGGCCAAAGGGGGGAGAGGGAGGAGGAAGAGGCGAGGGGGCACCCGCAGGGGACCGGGCTGCCCGGCTGGCGGGCGGGCCGGGGGGCGGGCAGGAGCCACCGAGCGTCCTTTCTTTCTTTCTTTCTTTCTTTCTTTCTTTCTTTCTTCATTCTAGCTCTTTCCTTTCTTTTTCTTTCTTTTCTTTCTTTCTTTTTCTTTCTTTCTTTTCTTTCTTTCTTTCCTTTCTTTTTCTTTCCTTTCTTTCTAGCTCTTTCCTTTCTCTTTTTCTTTCTTCATTCTAGCTCTTTCCTTTCTTTTTCTTTCTTCATTCGAGCTCTTTCCTTTCTCTCTCTCTCTTTTTCTTTCTTCTTCCTACCTCTTTCCTTTCTTTTTCTCTTTTTCTTTCTTTCTAGCTCCTTTCTCTCTTTTCTTTCTCTTGTTCTTCTCTCTTTCTCCCTCTCTTTCTTTTCTCTTTCTCTCCCTTCCCTCTCTTTCTTTCTTTTAATGGGCCCCTCCCTAAAAATGACTTTACAAAGTGCGCCTCTGCAACCAACTGGCTGCTCGCCCCGTGGGATAGGACATCTAAGCCCTGTGGTGCCTAAGCCTGTGGCTGGGTTTTTGACTTGAGCCAAAAAGGCAGGGGGCTTTCCTTTCTTTCTTTCTTTCTTTCTTTCTTTCTTTCTTTCTTTCTTTCTT